GTCCAGGGGACCGGTTTTGAGCCGCCGCCGTGGTTGTCTCCGTTGGGCTCTCCTCCAAACACTGGAGGGGGAGGGGGAGGAGGAGGAGGAGGAGGAGGAGGAGGAGGAGGAGGAGGAGGAGGAGGAGGAGGAGGAGGAGGAGGAGGAGGAGGGGGGCACCAGCCTGTCCATCGCGCAGGGCATCGTTGCCAGGCTTGGCCTGCCTGCCTCGGTCGCGAGGCGCAGCGCTGTCTACGTCGGTGTCGACGTCAGCGAGGGCAGCAGGAGAGCTGACCAGGGCGTGCTTGCCAAGCGCGCCAAGCGCAAGGCGCACACGGTGCGACGCATACGGAAGATCAGGCGCTTTGGCAAGGTCATCGCTGGCAACAAGGTGCAGTCCATCGGCCGTGTCATCCGTGCTGGCGCTCTGCCTGCGGCCACCTACGGCAGTGAGGTCGTCGGGCTCAACAACGTGGAGCGGCTGAGGTGCAGGCGCGACGCTGCTCGAGGACAGCTGCCAGCGCATGGCGGAGTGAGCCTTTCGAGCAAGACTGTCTTGCTCGGCGATGGCGCCGCTGCAGCTGCCGTTGCGCCTGCGTTCCAGTGGTGTAGAATGTTGTGGCAATCGGAGGTCTGCAACCACCCGCTTGCAGTGCGTGCTCGTCTGTTGCGGCTCTGGCGTGAAGCCAAGCCATGGCAGGTCATCGACTGGGCATCCAGTCGTGGCCCTCTGTCTCGAGCTGCGCTAGCTGTGCAGCGTGCGGGTTGGCGAGTCCTGTCGGCTATAAGCTGGATGGACCATCGGGGATCTGTCATTGATGTTAGCAGAAAGCCTCCGAGTATGCTCACTACTCCCATGCTAGCTGGTATCCAGCGTCAGCATGAGATTTCCTTAGCCATGCAGCTGGGAGCTCCGACAGGATCCAGGGCCTCGCTCGATTTCGTTCGTTGGGCGGTCGGAGGTCGGTCTCGTCGGTTGTCCAGTCTGCAGAAGTTTCTTGTCGGGAGCTGCTCTTGCCGCGGAATCTGGACCAAGGCCCGCGCCCAGGCTGCGGGCTACCTTTGCGACGGTCTCTGTGCCTGCGGCCAGAGGCAGACGATCAAGCACTGTCTTTACGAATGCATGCTACCTGCTGTTGTTGCCGCCCGCGCCGAGGCTGAAGTCAGCCCGCTTTTCATCAGTGCTGGTCTCGACTCTGACGATCCTATATTTGTGCAAGGAGTTTTCTTGTATGATCAGGAGGAGATTCCTCCCCCATCCTGCTCGGATGAAGTGGTCCTCGAGGGCCCTGAAGGGGAGGAGTTGGCGGTTGAGGTTGAGGGGGTGGCGTCTCTGGTTCAGGGCCCTCGATTGGACGTAGCCCCTGATGGCTCTTGCACGCGTCCAGGCTTAAAAGAGCTTGAGCGTGCGTCTTGGTCTATTGCAGTGTTTGCGCCAGAGTCTAATGTGCCTGTAGCAGTCATTCGAGGCCCTGTCGCAGGCAACCTTCCTCAATCGCCTAGTATCGCCGAGAGTGTTGCGCTCTGTTTGATTGGCCAGATTGCCGACCGTGAGACCCTGGCTGGCAGTGACTGCACCTCTGCGATTCGGCGTTTCCAGCAACCTGTGCAAGCCCAGCTGCGTGCGTCCAACCAGGCAGCTGGCATTCTGAAGTTCGGTCGTGGCCTTGAAGGCCACAAGTTCGTCTCGGCTCGGCACGTGAAGGCCCATCGGTCCCAGGAGCAGATTGACAGCCTCCCAGCGCAGGAGCGTCATTGGGCCGAAGCGAACCGAATCGCCGATCATCACGCTAAGCTCGCAGCCAGTTTGAACCCTGATCAATCGCCAGAGTTTTTGGCTAAGCTCGATCTCGCGAGGAATCGAGCTGCCGATTTTGTTTCATTGGCTGCCGCCGTCCTCCCGTGTTTCCTCGAGGAGAGTCCGCAGCGGTGGCGGAGACCCACAGCACTGTGCCGAAAGATAAGCTCTCGGGGGGAGGGGTGGCACTCCTGGGGTCTTGGCGAACTCGGCTGGCAGTGCGAAGTTCGCTTCAAGGTTGCACCGTCGTGCCGCAACCTGCCATTGAATGGTTGTCTCGGGGCCCCGTCGTTTTTGAAGCCTCTCACGGAAGACTCATTGGGGCATCAGCTTGTCGCCGTGAGCGGCTCTCGTTTTGCTTCGTTGCGTGCTGTGCGGTGCCGTGCCGAGGAATAAGAGAGCAATGAGGCTCGACGGGGTTCCCTGCTTTGTCTGAAGTGTGGAGGGTGGAGCCAGGAAAAGGCCATGAAGTTGAGCAAACCCTGCGCCCCCTCCACCAACACTGGTAACATGATTTTGTTTCGCTTTCGGAGAGGGCTGGCCCCGAACCCCCGAATTCGTGCGTTGATCGACCGAGCTGTCCCTGCCCCTCGCGTCGGTCTTACAGTGGCTAGCGCGCGGGATGTCAGAGCGACAACGTCTGTCGTTGAGTGCTCGGTCGACAGTGTAATCCCGTACGAAGCTCGAATGGCCCGCCTGATGGAGCGGGTGCGAGCGCGCGAGCAGAGCCGCCAGGTTTAGTTTCTCGGAGCGGGTGCACCCGTCGCGAGTGCTGAGGGTGGCAGTCATCCACTCTCGGCCTCACCAAATCTCCCCCCGAAGGTGCACCCGCCCGCTCAAGTTGTGCGGGCTGGCCCCTCTCTCCTCGGACCGATTTCCTGGGAGTCGTCTCGTCCCATATCATCTCCTCCTCCTCCTCCTCCTCCTCCTCCTCCTCCTCCTCCTCCTCCTCCTCCTCGTTCGACCTTCTCCTCCTCCTCCTCCTTCGACCTTCTCCTCCTCATCATCATCCTCATCCGCCATCGCCCCCGCCTGCTTCTCTGGCGGCGAGCGAGGGGGGGAAGCGAGAAGGAAAAGGCCCTCTCAGAAGGCGGCGGGACTTCTCAGAAGCCCTCAGGCCTCCTGAGAAGCTCTTTGTGTTTCCGTGGAATGCCCAGAAATCTCCTCCGAAGGCAGGGGCACTTGCAAGCCTTCTGAGAAGGCCCGCCCCTTCTCGCTTCACCCCGGCGGGAAGAGGCAGGAACGCTCGAGGGGCGGGGGGGTGCGGGAGAGGCGGGCCCAGGTGGGAGGGGTGAGACGAGGGAGGGCGCACAAGGGGCCCAATCGAAAGGGGCGTCCGTCGAAAAGCAAAAAACGGCATAATTAAGCATATTGATCGTTTTCTTATTCATTGTCTTGCCGGTCGGCGCGGGCCCTTGCACTTTTCCCCGCCCATGGAATAGATTTTGGCTGTTTTGGGGCGCCCGTTTCAAGCAGGCGGAGTCTTTCCCCCGCAGGACGCACTGCTGCAAACAGTGGCATTAAGCAGAGGTCCAGAGCCAGACCCCCCCCTCCCCCCCTTCCGCCCAATGCCGAAACGCCGAATAAAAACACGCTCACATAAACTTTCGGAGATCCGCGCGGATTTGTTGGATCGGCGCCTTGGCCACCCCTGACGACGCCGCCGACGCCGCCCCTGGCGCGCTCCGCGCGCCAGGGAGGGGGGGTCCAGCGCCGATCCACGAAACTCGCGCGGATCTCCGGAAGTTTATGTTAATGCAGTTGTTGTTCCTTTAGTCCGGCGAGAAACAGGGCGCATGTCATCAGACAGGGGCTCCAGGTGGGGTTTGGGGCCGGATGCGGCCTGGAGGGTGGTCCAGGAGAGAGGGTCGGATCTCACAGATCTTGTCGGAAGCTTGTTCGCACGCCAGCGCAATGAGTGTCGCTTTCGTGCAAGGTCCAAGACCTAAGCCACATCGTCAGGGACCTCCAGAGACCTCGAGGAGGAGGAGGAGGAGGAGGAGGAGGAGGAGGAGGATGATGGGGAGGATGATGTGGGGGAGGAGGAGGAAGAGGGAAGGATAGAGGAGTGGAGGATGAGAAGCAGGAGGCGGAGTAGTACCGAAAGCTCTCTGCGTCCCCTCGGAGCTCGGCGCGTCTATGCGCTTGCTTCCCCTCGCACGCGGTCGTGAGCGGAGGCGCGCGCGCTCGAGAGCGACCCATATCGATAATTCGAGTGGGCGGCGCGCTCAGCTCGGCTGCCCGGCTGTGCCAGCAGTGTGTCTTGTGATTCCCTCCTCCTCCTCCTCCCCCTCCCCCTCGCCCCTCCCCCCCCTCCCCCTCCTCCCCTCCTCCCCCTCCCCCTTTCCCTCCTCCTCCTCCTCCTCCTCCTCCTCCTCCTCCTCCTCCTCCTCCTCCTCGTGGTTTCGGGAGCAGGGGGTGTGCATCCCCTTTGTCTGGCAGTAGAGGGAGGGGCCCGCTGACTCGCTCGCGCTCGCGAGCCCGACTCGCTCCTTCCTCTTCCACTCCCCACCGCCTTCCAGCCATCCGTCTCTATCTCTATCTATCTATCTACAGTTCAAGGCAGAGCGGTGATGCCTGTACAAAGCGGGATTGAAAGAGCAGGACGAGAGCAGGCAGGAAAAGGGGAAGGCGAAGATCCTCGTGAAAACGCCTCGTCTCGTCTCCCTCCCCCCGTCCCTGCCGAGCCCGGCCCGCCCGGTCTGCCCCCCGCGCTGCTTGCCACGGCACCGGCGTCGGGGGCGGAAAAGAGGGAGGGGGGGTGATGACTAGGGGGGGTGGATATCATGGCGGGGGTCACGATATTTCCCCTGATTTCATGGCGCCTCTTCTCATTTCATTACCTTCCTGGCACCCCCGCGGGGCCGCGCACGTGCCGCCGCTCCTGAGTTGCACCCCCCCCCTCCTGGACACCCCCCAGTCTTGGCCGCTCCCAGCGGTGCACCGACGCCTGGGCTCGAGCTCCAGGGGTTCTGGCCCGGCGCGCCCGACGGCCGCCAGCAGCACCGCACCTCTCGGCACTTCGGCTCGGGCCGGGCGAAAGGGGGGGATTGGGAAAGGGGGGGGTACGAAATTCGCTGCATGCAGCTGGTTTCGGCCTCACCGAGGGGCCCATTCCTCGATACATCGCCGCCTCCGGCGCCGGGAGGCGCCGGGAGAATCAGCTACGTGAGCTGATTCTCAAACCCCCCCTTTGCTACCCCCCTTTCGCCCGACCCGATCGGCCCGCGATGGCGCGCTCCAGCTGCGGCGCCCTGGTCCTCGCCGCGGCGGCCGCGTGGCTGCTGTCGGCGGCCCTCTCGCCGGCCTTCGCCGGCCCGAGGGCCCAGCCGGCTGCCCGGGGCAGCAGCGTGGCCAGGCAATCCTCCTCCCTCTCCTTCCTCCTCCTCCTCTCCTCCCCCTCCTCCTCCTCCTCCCCTCCTCCTCCCTCCTCCTCCTCCTCCTCCTCCTCCTCCTCCCTCCTCCCTCCTCCTCCCTCCTCCTCCCTCCTCCTCCTCCTCCTCCTCCTCCTCCTCCTCCTCCCCCTCCTCCCGTCCTCCTGGCTCGCCTATAGCCCTACCCAACAATGTTCTAAGAACCTGTTGTGGTTCCCACGACATGTTCTTAGAACATTTCTGGCTGGGACTGTCTTGTCTTAACACATCGGGCTTCTGTTCCAAGAACATTGCTGCTGATTCGAACATTTGTGGGCTCTCAGAAAATTTCGTGGTAGGACTATAGGAATGCCGGGACGGTCGGTCCCTGCTCAAGGCAAGCCGGGTCCGAGATCATGCTCACCGCCCCCTCGATCGGCGGCCGTTACCGCGTGGTCATCGACGAGAGCACCACGGTGGAGTCCTGCCTCACCAAGTTCAGGAAGATCTTCGAGATCGACCAGGACTTCCTCCTCGACAGCGACTTCAACGTCTACCTGAAGGAGGACGAGAGCAAGCCGATCTCCGGGAAGATCTCGGAGCACACCAAGTTGCGCCCCTGGGGCCCGGACGGCATCGAGCTCCACATCTATTACGAGCCGAAGTGAGCGGGCCGAGTTCGCCCCTGCTTGGCAGATGCCGAGGAGCAGAGACTTAGGACGGCACGATTTTCTTTTCAAGGCGGCGCGGTCGCAGGTTCGAGCGGGGAAGCAAGCTGACGAGGAGAAGTCTTGGCGCTCCGCGTATCCCCACCAGCCCGTTCGGAGGCGTGGCCCATGGGGGTTGCCGGGGAAAGGGACGAAGAGACACACCTATGGTGAAGCAAAGCGAGCACCCAGAATGCACAGAGGCCGGGGCCCGCGGAGGGGCGAGGGGAGGAGGAGGAAGAGGAGGAAGAGGAGAAGCAGGAGGAGGAGGAGGAGGAGGAGGAGGAGGCGGAGGAGGAGGAGGAGGAGGAGGGGGGGCAAATTGCCTCTTAGTGCCCTCGTGGGATGCTCTTGGGCGCTCTTTGGGCCGTCTTGGGGCCCTCCGGGGGCTCTCTGGGGCTCTCTTGGGGCCCTCTCGGTCGGGCGCCCTGGAGGGCCTCTTGGGGCTACCCTGAAGTGCGTCGGTGAAAAGAGAGGGGTCCTAATGGTTGGCACCTCCTCTGGGGCCCTCAAACTCGCCCCTATGGGGCCCTCTTGTGGCGCTCTTGTGGCCGTCTCGGGACCATTTGGGCCCTCTTGGGCCTCTCCTTGGGCCATCTTGAGGACTCAAAAACGCATCGTAAGCGAAAAGGCGAGAAGCCGAACATGACTCATTTTCCCTAGGTGTTTGAAGGATGGTGGCCTCTGATGAGGAGGGGTCCTGAGGGGACTCCCAGAGCACTTGGAACTGTCGTCTGGCCATCTTCGGGCCTCTTGGAGGTATGCTGGAAGTTATCTTGAACCATCCTTGGTTATTTTGAGCAGCCTTGAAGGCCATCTTGGAGCATCGGAGGTCCTCTTAGAACCATCCTGGGCCATTTTGGACGCTCTGACCGATCGGGATCCGCCCCCCAAAAAACAGGGAGGGAATGTGGAGGGCACCCCTCCCCGAAGGGAAGAGGGTTTTTGGAAGAGGAATAACGATATCGCTAGACCACCTTCGCCCAACGGGCTGGAGGCACTGACGTGTTCCCTCTCCACATCCATCTTCGTCCTCCCCGCTCCAGGTTCCCCTTTCAGACATGTCCCCCACCCGCCGCCTTCCGCACTCTTCTTTCCAGTGCCACTATCATGCTTCTCCTTCCATCCTCTCGTATCCTCCCTCCCTCCCTTCCCCCTCCGTTTCCCTCTCTCTCTCTCTCTCTTTTTTGTCTCTCTCTCTCTCTCTCCCTTGAACTCATCCCCCTCTCGCACTTCAACTGGTCTCTATTCGCCCCTTCCCCTGATAGACCTTCTGTGCACGTGTGGCGCGCGTGGGGCTTGATTTCCTCATCGTCCCACATGTTCCTCCTCCTCCTCCTGTTCGTCCTCCTCCTTCCTTCCTCCTTTTCCGAGACACCAGCCACAGTTGTTCAGTCACGAAGTGGGTCCGCCACCTTGACGGCATTGGCATATCTCTGCCTGGTTCCAACAGCAGGCAGTGGGTCAGCAGGAGAAGGACAGCAGCAGCAGCAGGAGGATGGTGAGGAGAAGGAGGAGGTGGAGGAAGAGGAATCAGGAAGGGAGTTGAGTAGCCCATCTGCTGATAACGACGACCACGGCGACGAACACGATCATGATGGGTTGATGTGTATGATGATGGCCATGCGAATGACGATGATACTGATACTGAGAACAGTGGTATTAATAATCATAGCAGTAGTACTGATACCAATAACACTAATACGCACTATCCTTAGACAATACACGATCAATAGCGCTCCTACTCAATTAAAATTAGGAAAACTAGCACTTGTACTACTCGTAATACTCATCATCAGAGTAGTCGTAGTAGTAGTAGTAGTAGTAGTAGTAGTAGTAGTAGTAGTAGTAGTAGTAGTAGTAGTAGTAGTAGTAGTAGTGGTAGTGGTAGTAGTAGTAGTAGCACTTGTATTCGTAATGATGTTGTTCGTACTACGAATGATAATACTGATCATAATAATAAGAATACTAATACTATTACGATGGCTACGAATATGAACAGTACACTAACAACGAGTAAAGCCTTGGCTAATATTACGAATGCGAATGCTAATAATGATGACGGCGTTGATGATGATGGTGATGACGATCATAATCATGTTGATGTTGGTGATGGTGATGATGATGGTGATGATGGTGATGGTGACGGTGATCGTGGTGATGGTGATGATGTTGATGGTGGCGATGATGATGGTGACAGTGATGGTGATGATGATGATGATGATGATGATGATGATGATGATGATGATGGTGATGCTGATGCTGATGCTGATGCTGATGCTGATGCTGATGCTGATGCTGATGCTGAAGATGATGATGGTGGTGATGGTGATGATGCTGATCATTGATGATGACGGTGGTGGTGGTGATGATGGTTATGATGATGATGGTGGTGATGATGATGATGGTCGTGGCCATGGCCATGGTCATGATGCTGGGGATGGTGGTTCTGCTCATGATGCTGGTGGCGGTGGTGGTGATGATGACGGTGATGGTGCCGGTGCTGTTGATGATGCCGATGTTGTTGGTGATGACGGTTTTGAGGATGTCGATGGTAATGGTGGTGATGATGGTGGTGGTGATGGCGGTCGTGGAGGTGGCGACGGTGAGGGTGAGGGTGAGGATGGTCATTGTTGCAGATGCTGCGCGCTCGTCCTGAAGGCTCCAGCCCCTCGTCGCCGCCACGCCGCCCCCTCTGCCCCCCCCCATTCACCCACCCACCCACTCCCACACACACACACATATATATATATATATGTGTACAACACACACGCACACACGCACACACGCACACGCACACACACGCACACACATACACAACACAACACAACACAGCACAACACAACACACCACACCACACCACACCACAACACAACACAACACAACACAACGCAACACAACACAACACAACACAACACAACACAGCACAACACACACACATCCTCCGCCATCTGCCCCATCGTCTCCCCTCGTCGAGCGCCCTGACGCTGGCGGTCGTGAGCTCTGTCGCTTCTTCGCCCCACCCCCTCCCCCCCGCCCCACCCCCCCGCCGACACTCCGACCTCTCCCCTCCATCACTCCTCGTCCTCGTCCTCGTCCTCATCCTCATCCGCCTCCTCTAGTCGATTGTGATCTTCTTCTCTCTCTCTCTCTCGTCGGACGCGCCGGATCCGCGGCGCGCCAAATCGAGAGTCCTCCTTCTCCTCCCCCTGTTGCTAGTGCTGGTGGCTTCGGGAACGTCACGCGATGCAGCCTACTCCTCCTGATCATCCTCCTCCTCCTCCTCCTCCTCGTCCTCGTCATCACCACCATCATTATCCTCATACTCGTCCTCATACTCATACGAATCCTCATCCCCGTCCCCGTCCTCATCCTCATCCTCATCCGCCTCCTCCAGTCGATTGTGATCTTCTTATCTCTCTCTCTCTCTCTCTCGTCGGACGCGCCGGATCCGCGGCGCGCCAAATCGAGGATCCTCCTTTTCCTCCCCCCGTTGCTACTGCTGCTGGCTTTGGGAACGTCACGCGACGCAGCCTACTCCTCCTGATCCTCCTGATCATCCTCCTCCTCCTCCTCCTCCTCTCCTCCTCCTCCTCCTCCTCCCTCCTCCTCCTCTCCTCCTCCTCCTCCTCCATCCTCCTCCCCCATCCCCTCCTCCTCCTCCTCCTCCTCCTCCTCCTCCTCCTCCTCCTCCTCCTCCTCCTCTCCACCTCCTCCTCCTCCTCCTCCTCCTCCTCCTCCGCCAAGAGGTGCATTAGCGAGATTATCTCGGAGTGCGACGCTAGGCAGGCAGGACGGGCAGACCCAGTGGGACTATTACTAGCGGGGCCATCTCGGCGTGAGGACCCTTGAGAGAGCACTTGCACAGACAACGTCTTGGGAAGTGTTTTTTTGGAGTGCCGACAGATATTTGACTGCAGGGAGTGAGGAATGGGAAAAGGTGGTAACCACGAAGGCCACCAGAGCGCATCCTGGTGGGCCCCACCTCCAACATAACGTGACTACCAGTATTTTTCTTCCCTGCATACACTTCGAGGGGGAACAGTGGGATACGACAGCAGGGTATCAGGGTACAGTTACGACAATGCATGGGACTACTACCGACCAGAACGCTCTGGAAGTGAGCCGATATAGAGAGAGAGAGAGAGAGAAAAAGAGAGAGAGAGAGAGCTATGCTATACGATGATAGCATAAACGAGTAGGATAATCAGGCCCCCCAGCAAAAGTGTAGAAAGCAAGGGCATCGTGTTTCTGATCCCCTTCTCCTTTTGTGAGGTCGCGTCGTCGTCTCTCCCCCCCCTAGCTTGCGAGCCCTGCTCGCCCAGCGCGTCCCCATTCCAAGGGCACGCGGAAGGGCCAGCAGCTGCTCCCCCCGAGCGGACCCGCAGGGACTCGTACTCACAAGGTAGCGAGTCCCTCCTACGGGGCCACCTCGGCGCTCACCCCTTTGAGGCTTCGGGGCGTGCCCCCTTCCAGCCCCAGTGAGAAGCCAGGGCCGCTGCACAACCAAACCGCAGGGGATGTCGCCAGACGCCCGCAGGGCGCCAGTCCAGTGGTGTTGACGTTGGCCCTCCATTATGCGGATGTCCTGTCCTGTCCAGTCCCCCTCGTCCTCCTCCTCCTCCTCCTCCTCCTCCTCCTCCTCCTTTTCCTCCTCCTCGAAAGCACCGTGCCCCGAGGTGATCCCGAAGGGGGGCAGATCGGGGGAAGGTAAGGAGGCAGGAGGAAGGGGGGAAGGAACGCAAGGAGGAGGGGAGGAAGGGAGGGAGGAGGGCAATGAGGAAGGAGGAAGAAGGAAGGCCCAGATCGGAGGGAGAGGGGAAGGGGGGGAAAGAGGGGAGGCGGCAAGGATGGGATTGCGGGGGAGGAGGAGGAGGAGGAGGAGGAGGAGGAGGAGGAGGAGGAGGAGGAGGAGGCGGCGGAGGAGGACCGGCGCCACCCGTAGTAGGTTTCAGGTTGCCAGCAGTATATGTCAGGTTGCCAGCAGTAGGCGAGCCCCGGGTCCCAGCCAGCATCCGAGTGGATCTATGAAAATTTTGAAGTGGGATCGAGGCCGAAGGAAAAGGAAGAGGAGGAGGAACGGTAGCTGAAAGCGCAGCACACCAGGGGGGGAGCATGAGCAGAAGGAGCTGGAAGGAGGAGCCCCC